CCCCAAAACCCCAAAACCCCAAAACCCCAAAACCCCAAAACCCCTTAGATTTTCATAGAAATTGAAACACTTTTTTACCCATTTATCGAACTCTAGATGTCCTACTGATCCAGGCTGATACTTCTGAGAGATTTGTTGCTGAACAATGTGTTTGTTTCATCAGTGCCGAAAGGAGAGGTATCACTAGCCATACTTCCATCTCGAGGGGGATCTAGGTATTGCTCAATATTACTTGCATAAGAAGAGAACCTTGATAAAATCTCCTCTTCAACTTTTGGCTTAACCACAGGCTTTTTAACTTGAATCATTTTTCTACTAAGAGGATGAGGAGATGATTCTGGCATTGCTTCCATTAATTTGTGAGAATTAGTATTCTTACAGCCATGGATCCCATTCTATAAAAATTGAGCAAAAGTGATAGTCTAAAGTTCTACAAAGATGAAAATTTTAATAACTATTTATCAGAAATAGGGTTTAAAATGAGGATATACAAATCTTCGTGAACATTTCTGGAACTCTAACAACACAGCTATTTAGATCAAGAAAGCATAATCCTACCTATCATAATGTTTATGTTAGGAAAGATCGAGGAAGTTTAATTAATCCCTTGAGATTCTTAAGCAAAATTGGAGACTTTCAGTAGAAAACAATTGGTAGTTAAAAAGGATGAGTAGGTCTAAACGATTACTAACTAAAGATGTTCCAAGATACACTTGTAGGTCCCCCAAGATGTATAAGTCCACAATTTTATGTACACTGGTCATCTGAAATCCTATTCAGGGCAAGCTTCTTATTTTAAGCTTTAGATCAGAGTGTTAAGGGATAAAAATGAATATAATTTTAGTTGAGAAAGTCATCAAATTCTTATATATGTAGCTCCTTTTAACCCCAGCAGCTTTTATCTTGAGCTAAGTTATGGCTTACCTCACTTGCATGGTTGTGAAATTGTGAATTAAGCGTGATAAAATTGAGAATAACTTCCTTTTCTTTCATTTTTGAGGAATTTGAGTCCTTCCTGATAAACATTCTAGAGGGAGAGAAAGCCTTATTTGTATATTTCAGCAGGAGTATTCTTTCTAAGAAGTTTCAGTGATGAAATTTGACTTTTGCATGCCTTTAAGACTTTTTCAGGGGTTATATTTTTCAGAAGAGTGTTTCGGGACCCAGGATCAGGCCTCTTTTTACCATCAGAAGGGGCTATAATGGCCTTATACCTCTCTGCTAGAGAAAATACTGTCTCTTTCTTGCCATTTTTATTCGAAGCATCACTTTTCTTAGAGTCATGATTAAAATCTATGTTTAAAGCTATGAATTACTCCCTAAAGAAAGATTTGCTGGTATCTTCTCCTTATTGGAGGTAAACTCATTCTCATGATAATTTCTAGAATGTTTATGAGAAGGCATATTTAGTTGAGGAAGTTGATAACCATGCTTGCTCTTCCTCTCCCTCCGCTTTCCGTTATAAAAACTTTTCTAAATATGAGTCAGAAAAATACTCTAAAAGGCTGTTTTGGGATAAAGGAATTTCTACTAGTTGTCGGGGTTTTGATAGATGTTGGATCTTTATTTCTATCTATAAAACCGTTGATAAGAAATATTGCTCGAAATACCTTCAGTAAGCTGGTTTGATAACTTCTGAGCTTTGATTTTATACTCAAGACTTGGAACCTCTTGCATTAGAGTTAATCAGTAATTGAAAAGTGGCTTTCCATCTGTCCTTTCTCCGGTCTGAATCTTCTAAAAATGTAGCTGATTCATACATCGAGAGAGATTTTTGTGTTGGGTCTTCTGCCTTCAGATAGAAGCTGGAATTCCCTTGGTTCAAGAAGAGAAGGTTTCGAGATTTGTGTAGATTTGTCAAATTTATTTCTTTTCAATTTTTATGCTTCATTTTGGCTGTGATGACACTCTTTTCCTAGATTTTACCCTCTCTTTAATCTTATCAACTAAAAATCTTGTAAAGTAATGAATTTATGATAAATTATCAAAATCGGGTATGTATTTGACCAAAAATAAAGTCAAAGGGTCTATATCTACTAAATTCGAGAAAACTACTCTGAGTCATTCTCAATGCATTTGGTAGTAAAGTTAGCAAGTCCTTACTTGTAGGCAAGGATAGCATACTTCCTTTAAGTAAAAAGCTGGAATAGTTTCGCTTCATTTCTTCTGTTTCGAATATATTTTAGTTTATCAAACTCGTAAAATATAAATGGGGTTTTGGGGTTTTGGGGTTTTGGGGTTTTGGGG